CCCAAAGGGGTTGCGACCCACAATTTGAGAACCGCTGGTCTAGAAGTTGTCAATCAAATGAATAGCTAATCAAGTTTATGTAATTGCACCGCAATAAAGTCTGTGGGCACCAAGACTCAGGTGTGCCTCCTGGTTGGTAACATTTAACGAATACTGTCGCACACATCAAGAACAGAAAGGTCTGCTATCCCCATTTCTTGGGAAAAGAACAACTGGAAGCTTCATGATTACAACTCTCCAGGACTTCATCCTGTGTTGGTTTTAATCTGCATCCTTTCCATACAATAAACAGCTAGGAAAACAAAAACTTCCAGTGAATTCTATGTGTCCTTCTAGCGGATTATCAAACCTGAGCGTGGTTTTTGAAATAGTGTACACTCCGAATTTGGGTCATAACAGAGAGTGGTCTTATATGAACTCTTCCTTCGAAACTTACTCTTGCAACCACCAAAATTCATGGACCAGCCATGAACTGAATCCCTTTTCGCCATCCTAACTGCTCTCATGTTCTCACTACCCTCCTTCCACTCTTTTAATTGTTTTTTGAGTTGCCGTTGAATTGGCTACAACACATGGCGACTTTATTTAAATATAACAGAACAAAATGTTGTCTAGTTCTCGTTTACCCTTATAATTTTAGGCATGTTTGAGCCCATTTCAGCAGCCATAGTCAATCTATCTAATGGCGGGTTTTCCCTGTTTTGCTGACCTTCTACTACTCTTTTATACCCACTTCTCATGCACCAACTGCATGACTATCCAACATTTTAGTGGGATAAGAGGGCCGGGAGAAAAAGAGGAAACAGAAAGGGAAAGAGGATAAATGTGTGGAGCTGGGAAATGTAGCTACAGTAGCAGAGATGACAGTATGTGTCTTCATGCTGCCTTAACAAAACTAACACAAGGTGGACTTAAAAGAAGAGAAATTTGTTTCCACATAGTTCTGGAGACCAAAGTCAAAATTAGACTATTGGCCTTGCTTATTTCTCTGTGGGAATTTCCTACTGTCTGCTGGCAATCATTGACTTGTTTTGTTTTTTAAGCACTCAGAGGGATTTTCTTATAGCATTTGCCTTCCGTGTGTGTGTGTGTGTGTGTCCATGTCAGTTTCCCTTTTTTCTAAATAGGGTTAGAGTTACAGGTATAGAGGTTAGAACATTAACATAATCTTGGAGGGACACAATTAAATCTATAACAATAGATGCACAAGTTCAGGTTGCTGGGAGCCTGTAGAAGTAAATCTATACACCTGTGGTGAAGCAGAACTGTTTCTTTCTTAAAAGCTCTCTAGGATGACTTCGGGAAGAGACTCTTCATTGCTGTGTCACATAAGGAATTCCTGAAAGTCAGGAATAATCTTTCCTATTTTTTCTCAGCGTAGGCATAAGTGTGGGCATAATTCAGGAAACTCTGATCCATACAATCCCATATTAAGAAAAGTAAGAATTTAGTTACTCACGATGCTCCCGAATTCATGATGCAGCTCTTTGCCCCACAGATGCACTGTCTGCCGTCGTCATGATTCATTCCAAGGTTATGGCCCAGCTCATGGGCAACAATGGATGCAAACGTCTCCACAGTGATCTGCCCAAACTGGCCAAACACAGCACGTCATCAATTAGGCTTCTAACCAAACTGAAACATTTTGTTTCTTGGGTTTATTTTTCTATAAATGAAAATTTAATCACTATAATTATAGCAGCCTCCACATTAAACCAAGCTTTCAATTTAATATGAAAACACTATGGCCTCTGATAATGGAATCTGACCCTTTCAGCATTAAGTCAATTACTTTAATACTAATATGTTATCCATGGTAGTTATGGGGAAAAAAATCTATGGCTCTCACTTAGTTCTCAAATAATAACCCCTTGCTTCCACTTCTATTAAAAAATAATGAGGAGCCAATAAACATGTAATGTCAGGACACTTGATCCAGTCTCTAGGGATAGAACAAGTTTGTCATTTCTACTATGCCCCTCAAAATGCCTACAATAATAATTTAAGGCCTATGGAGGAAGGACAGAGTTGATATATGCGTAACATTGTCCTAATGCAGAGGTCCCAAGTTGAAGATCAAGAACAAAGACATACCACATTAATCCCGCCTGCATGGCTCCTTGAGCACACTGTTCCCACAAATGCCATTCCTGCAGTCCCACCAAAACCTTTCTTCCTAAATGGAAAAAGGGGGGTAAATACTATAAAATATACTTGGTCAAAAAATGAAACACATTAGTCCCATTTTTATGTTCATCTTAAACTGATATAGCCTACAATTGGGGTGGTGGTGGGTGGCAATAAAACATAACATTTTAAAGTGAGAATGGACTAGGGGATTTTAAAAGATACATGAAAAAATGGAATTAAAAGACAAGTACATTTCCGCAAACATTTTTAAGGCCCCTTTGTAGATGTTTGTACAATGTGATTGATATAGCATTGGTTTTATTGAATTGTGCAGATGAATAATATTTCTCTAAAAATGAAAACTTTAAGAGAACACCTTAAAAAAAGAACAGTTCTTTTCATTATCAGAGAATATGATTAATATTATAAATGTGTTTTTCACATAAGCACAAAACAGGGTTTTGTTAATCTTCTGGATAAAAATCATTCCTAAAATGTATGACTGTTCAACAAATAATTCAACAAGTGTTAGTGAAGAAAGTTAAGAGATTAAATGAGCATATTCGCATAGTGGCTACAGGGCAGTGATCACAATGAACACACACACACACATACACACACACAATCACCCGTTTCCACACTGTTTCTCAAGCATGCCAGAAACACTTGTATCTCAGGATTTATTCCCTCTGACTGAAAAGCCTTCCTCATGTCATTGCCTAACCTCTTTGGGTTTTTACTCAAGCCCTCTTCTCAGGGAGGCCTTCCCTGGCTATGCTCATTAAAATCCCAACCTCACTGCTCCAAAACCTTTATCTCTCCCTTCTCTGTTTTTCTTCTTATTACTTATTATATTATGTGAGATATCACACATCTTGCTAATTTAGGTTATATATAGCCAAGCTTCTTCACCAAACTATAGGTTCATTAGAGTAGGGATTTTGGACTATTTGTTCATTACTATTCTCCAGTGCCTGGTATACTAAAAGAAAAATGGAAACATCTTTAAATAACTAAAGATACAATATAAAAAGATTCTCAAGGAAACAAGCCAGGCAGATCACCCTACAGTAAATTCCTGAGTTCCGCTGTTTGCGCATGAGTAAGAACACCACAACAGAGGTCACTGCCCTGGAGGCAATGCAGACGAATGAAGCCCCAATAGGACAAGGCGGAACTGGCCCTGGGAGCTCCCGAGACTGTAATTCTTTACAGGGGGGTAAAAAGTCTCATCTTTCCCCTGCATAGCTAAGAGTAGGCTGTACTGAAAAAAATCCCCTGAAGGTTGGAGTACATTAGTAAGGACTCGCCTGGGATGACAGATGGAGACCAAACAGGAGAAAAAAGCAACTTTTCTCAGAGTGGAGAGTCTGCTCTTTTCGGTTATTTGTAAGAGCGCGATCTCGCTGGCATGAAGACTCATATAACTTTACTAAGAATTATTTTTGTATAGTTGGGACTAAACCATTGAGGCATTTTCTGTTCCTATCTTTAAATGAACCAAAATTAATAAAACAAAAATAATAAAATTCAGGAATATTACTCCACAAGGAGAAAAATGTCTAAATCTTAGGTCCTATAAATATCAAAGGAAGCAAAACAAAATTTAGAAGGTAAAAAAACACACACATTATATAAACTGGAACATTTTGGCAAAATGTCAACCCATCAAGACAGAAAAAAAAATTTAAAGAAAAAAATTCTTAAATCTACTTTTAAGTGAGAGTTTTAAGTTTTGGACATTTATTTGTATTGAGTCAGGTGATATAAATTAAAATTTCCAAAATTGACAGCCACAGTTCAGTTTTGGTTATAGCACATGAAATGCTATGCAGTGAGAAGAATTCTTTTTAAAGATGTTGATATCGAGAAGTTAGAAGAAATATTATATTCACGAATAATTTGATTCTATAAAAACAGATATTAAAGGGAATAATAAGATAAAGGAGCAAAAGAGAGACAAAATGGAAAACAAACAGATTTTTAGAAGAGAAATTTAAGGAAATATTTTAGAATGTAGAATTTTAAAAAAAGGAAAATGAAGATAATAAAATTATAAGACCAATACAGAACTCCCATAGCTGAGTTAAAGGAATCCAAGAAATGAAAAATAAAAATAATAGTGAGATAGTTATCTATAAAGTAATCAAAGTAAGGGCCCCCATTAAAAGTATATAAAAAAAACACCAACAAAAGAGACGGGTGAGAGTAAAAGAGTAATGGAGAAGAGATACTGCTGCCTCTACCCACATAAAATGTCCCCTAATATGTAAATACTAACACAATGTATGTATGTATATGTAGTGATTAAAGCTGTGGAGCCCCAATAAAATGATTTTTTAAGTTTTTCAAAAACTGATGGATATCAGTTTCCAGATTGAAACTGCTTCCTGAGGCCTAAGCACAAGACGTGATAAAGGAACTAACTAAAGCAACTGGTAGGGATTCTGAAGCCTGGGAACCAAGGGAAGAAGCTGTAAGTTTCCAGAGAAGAAGGAAAAATAAGTCACACGTAAAGGATCGAGACACTGAATGATCTCAGGCTTTTCAATAGTAATACTGAAAATTGAAAAACAATTACGCAATGCTTTTGAAATTCTGAAAGAAATAAGATTTTGTATCTAGAATACTATATACAATGAAATCATCAAACACAAGTGTGAGGGAAGAATAATACATTTTGTAGAAATGCAAGAGGTCAAATATTTTTCTTTCCATATATCTTTTCTCACAAAGCAACTAGAGAACATGCTTGACTAAAATGAGGGAGTATATTCAAGAAAGAAGGAGAAAAACATAAGATAAAGGCAACAGAAAATCTAAGGCTTTATTATTGTACTGTTATATGATGTTATCAAACTGAGTTATTCTCAATAAACAGGATGCCCAAAAAACCCTTCAAGAATATACTACTAACAACAGCCAAGAAAAAATATAATACTAATGAAGAAAAAACTTTTCATTCTTATGAAAATGTCATTAATATTACTTAGTATGACCACTCACAGAATAAGCTGTGCACTGTCATGTCTCCGACGCATGATGAGAAACTTTTCCCGCCAATTTACAAAATTTCCCAACACATCACCAGCACCTCCAACCATGTTGATCAGATTTCCATTTGTCCAAATTTCCAGTCCAACAAGTACAATTCGAATATTTAGCATAATATACATCTGGAAAGAAAAGAAAGAAGTGCATAAAATACATTGAACAAAAGTAGAAAAATTTCAAACCAACACACAGAAAAAAAATAATGTGGCACTTGAAAATTTGGAAGTTTCAAAGTAGGAGGAAGACTTTCTTAAAATAAGACTCTCCAAATAAAAATAAACAGGTCTTTCAGAAACCAAATATCTTAAACTAGACACCCAGAAGATAAAGCACTGTATATGTGAATATAAATCTTCTACTCTTTCAAAGTCTTTCCACACTTGAATTTTCCTATCTACCATTAAAAAAAAAAGTTATAAACAAACTAGAAAGCAGACCTCAAAAAGACTTAGGCTGCGAGATCATCAGAGCCCAAACTGAGATAATTTTTAAGATCTGTTCAGAGACAATCAATGCTGGTTGATAGAAAACAAAACTTACACTATCTAAATAGTTTGATAAACGAATCATCTCTTCTCTCACAGCAGTCTGATTTCTCCCCATTGCATCATACTGAAAAAACAAAGAAAATCATTATATTCAAAGTAATTCAAGAAAATTACAATAATCAGATAGAAGATAAGAATTCAAGTATTTCCTCTGAACCCAAAAGTAAGTCTTGTCATCCTTGCCTCTAAGGAACACTCTGGTTGTTCTTCCAAGACAGACCTGTTTGTCCTTCTATCAATCCATGGTACTTTCAGTATTCTTCTCCAGCATGGTAATTAAAATAATCTGCAGACCTGTCCTCCAATCCTGATGCATGTTCTTCTCCATACAGTCCAGTTTCTTGGATTATTTGCTCATGATGCACACTAAGTAAGTGTGGTGAAAACATAAAACTCTGATGTCTACCTTTTCTTTTTATAACCATGCAATATTCCTTTGTTCTGTTCAAATGACTGCATCTTAGTCTATGGACAGGTTCCAATGATCACCATCAAGTGTTCTGAAATTGCCATTCCTTGCAATGTTATTCGTAAAGTGTTATGATTCACATAGTTGATTGCCTATGCATAGTTACTTAAAAACATAAACATCTTTGTAATATTCTCGCTTTCAATCAATGTAAAAAAAACTGAAGCAACAGGGTAGCATCTGACCACGTCAAGCGACGTTAAAAATAAATTAAAAATAAAAACCACCAAACTCATTGCCATCTAGTTGATGCTGACTCACAATGACCTTATAGGAGAGGGTAGAATTGCCCTTGTGAGTTTCTAAAACTAACGTTTTGTGGGAACAGAAAGCGCCATCATTTTCCTGTGCAACAGCTGGTGATTTCAAACTGCTGACCTTGAATACTGCAGTCGAAAGCATAAGCCCTACACCAACAGGGCTCCTTCCAACTACAGAAGAGGGAGGGGGCAATCTCATGATGAGCATCAGCTGCCAAGGCCAATTCCTATGAAGCTAAAATCAGGCCTGCCTCCACCCTCCAATCTTCCTTGCCAATTTGGATACCAATTATCTCCATCACTCTACATTTCAGCTTGGTTTGATAATTCATTGAACGGCTACAAAGAACTCACAATGCTCAAGTTGATGGGAACTTATTAGGGAGGTTAACAGGTCACTATCTGGGTTGGAATGGACTCAATGGCAGTGAGTTTGTTTTTGGGGGAGCCCTCATGGTGTGTTAGTTACATATAATGCTAACTGCAAGGTCAGCAGTTCAAAACCACTAGCTACTCAGCAGGAGTAAAACAGGGCTTTCTACTCTCATAAATAATTACAGTCTTAGTAGCCCCACCTCCCCGCAGAAGAATTCACTTCAGAGGACAGCACTGAAGCTACAGCTCAGGGAGAGGGGCATGTCTGATCAGAACACAGAGGAGCAAACGAAGGCAGAGGAAGAGAAAGTGGAGCACATCCTGGCCCACCACGCCTTGAGAACGATATTCCCTCTCAGAGCAGCTAAAGCACAGAGAGGACCAAAGGGCCAGCCCCACCACGAGACACAACGTCCCTCACTGGCCCATAGCGCTACAGGGTTCAACACGGGAGACACAGAGTGGAAATTGCACCCAATCTGATCCTACCACACTGAAGTAACACACTAAGGGTATGTGAGCAAGGGGACAGAGCAGAACAGCAAGGGGAACAGAGCAACGAAGACCCCAGGGAATACCAAAAATAGACTTTGGGGCCAGGGTATGGAACCCCATCAGACAAACAACAAACAAACCTTGAACTATTTATAGGCTCTTCTTTTTGTTGTTGTTTTCTTTTGTTACTTTTTTTTTGCTGTCTTTTTTGTGCATATTATTATCTATGCACATCTATTTAGGTAAGATAGGCAGGATAAACAAGCTGGAGGAGAAAACAACAGGACTGATGGTTCCAGGGGGACATGGGATAGGGGGAGGCGGGGGAAAGGAAGTGGGTGTTAACAAACCCAGGGGCAGGGGAACAACAAGTGATTCAAAATTGATGGTGAGGAAGGTGTAGGAGGCCTGTTAGGGCTTGATCAAGGGCAATGTGCCTGCGAGGAATTACTGAAACCCAAATGAAGGCAGAACAGGATAGTGGGACAAGAGGAAAGTAAAAGGAAATAGAGGAAAGAGCTGGGAGGCAAAGGGCATTTATGGGGTCTAAAAACAGGCATGTGCATATGTAAATATATTTACATATGAAGATGGAGAAATAGATCTATGTGTATACATTTACAGGTTTAGTATTAAAGTAGCAGATGCACATTGGGCCTCTACTCAAGAACTCCCTCAATGCAAGAACACTTTGGTCTATTAAACTGGCATTCCATGATGCTCACCTTCCCAACACGATTGCTGAAGGCAAAAGCAGGTGCATAAGAAAATGTAGTGAAGAACAGATGGTGTGCCCGGCTATCAAAAGATATAGCATCTGAGATCTAAAAGGCTTGAAGATAAACAAGCAGTCCTCTAGCTGACAAGCAACAAAGCCCACATGGAAGAAGCACACCAGCCTGTGTGATCACGAGGTGTCGAAGGGATCAGGTATCATGCATCAAAGAACAAAAAATCGTATCATTGTGAATGAGGGGGAGTGCGGAATGGGGACCCAAAGCCCATCTGTAGGCAACTGGACATCCCCTTACAGAAGGGTTGCAGGGAGGAGACGAGCCAGTCATTGTGCAGTATAGCACTGATGAAACATACAACTTTCCTCTAGTTCTTAAATGCTTCCCCGAACCCACTATCATGATCCCAATTCTACCTTACAAATGCAGCTAGACCAGAGGATGCACACTGATACAGATAGGAACTGGAAACACCGGGAATCCAGGACAGCTAAGCCCCTCAGGACCAATAATGAAAGTAGCAATACCAGGATAGTAACGGGAAAGTGGGGTAGGAAGGCAGAACCGATCACAATGATCTACACATAGCCCCCTTCCTGGGGGACGGACAACAGAAAAGTTGGTGAAGGGAGACACTGGACAGTGCAAGACATGAAAAAAATTATAAATTATCATGGGCTCATGATGGAGGGCAGGTGGAGGAAGGAGGTAAAAAAATGAGGAGCTGAAACCAAGGGCTCAAGTAGAAAGTAAATGTTTGGAGAATGATGATGGCAACAAGTGTACAAATGTGCTTGACACAATGGATGGATGGATGGATTGTGATAAGAGTTGTATGAGCCCCCAATAAAATGATTTTTTAAATAATAATAAATAAATAAATACAGTCTTACACACTATATGGCTGCTCGGAGCTGGCATCGACTTGATGACAATGAGGAGTTTGGTTTGGGTTTTTTATTCTGATGAGAAATCCTCAGAATAAAGTTCTTCAGTCAGGGCAGTTTCTTCTCTGCTGCGCCCACAGGCAGGGCTTTCTCAGGTCCTCAGCCATGGTATCTGACCAGCTCACGCAATTTCATAAAGCTGTTTCAGGGCCAACAGTGAATACCAAAAGGCATGCCACTCTGCTGGAAGCTTCAACGCAAATGAAGGCACTCAACCCCAGCTCCTTGATCAGCAAACCCAGCCCCATTAAGTCCCCACAGGCACCTCACTCTACAAGCCAGCCGCCCACCCAAAAGCACTCAGCTCCGTGAGTTGGGGAATTTACCACTCTGTTTTATGTTCTGGTTCCTAGTTCTGCTATTGCTGCTCTCCTGCCACTCCTCTGGGGTCAAGGCTTTCTCCTGGATAAAGGAGGTTTAATGCACAAAGATGACAGGGCTAAAAGAGGCACCCACTCCTGGTTCTTCTCTCTTGCTGGTAGTGAGATTTCTACAACTTTCCTGCTTCTGAGATGGCTCAGCATGGCACTCACAAGTAATACTGTTAAAAGCACTCACAGGTGAATCATATAATCCAATCAGTAGCTTCCCTGCTTCTTACCCAGATCATTGGAATCATTTGGTGTTAGAAACAAAGACTGGCTAAAAGAGCCATATTAAATAATTCACTGCACTGCAGTCAAGATCCATCTGACATCAGCACTAATATCCCTTATCCTATATCCTCTTCTAAATGTGGTTTGAATCTCTTCTGGTGTTTTTTGTTGTTGTTTTTTTTATTGCTTTTTTTATTGATGTGCTACTGCAACCCTTTAAAAATTATTTTCAACAAAACTTTACTTACATGTAATATTAATAATATTACCTGATAAGTAGGATCATCTTTCTTTAGAATGGGTGCAAGTATATCTCTCTTCCAGTCAGTTGACCAGATGGCTGTCTTGTAAATTTCTGGACAGACAAGTGAGATGATTGTTGAAACATCTCAATCGATATTCTGTCAATTCTTCAACATTTATTTTTCACTAATGTCTTCAGTGAAGCTTGGACTCTTCCTTCACAGTGTTCCTTCCATCTTCTTTCGACACTTCTTGTATTGTTCGGTATTTTCCCATAAACTCACTGCCATCAAGTCAATTTTAACTCTTAGCAACTCCATAAGAAAGATTAGAACTGATACTTATGGTATCCAAGACTAGAAATCTTTACAAGAACAGACATTTAATCTTACTCCCCCTGGAACTGCTGTTGTGTTTGAACTCCCAACCTTGAGATGAGCACCCAGAATTTAACACAAGGTGCCACCTGGACCCCTTATTTTATCATAGAATCCTTCAATATAGCAACAACATTGCAAAGATTTGGATGCATTCATCAGTTCTTAGCTTGAGAAATGCTGAATGTGTTCTTTCCTTTTGTTCTCTATCTCTGGGTATTTGCACATTTCATTATAATTCTTTACTTTGTCTTCTCATGCTACCTTTCTGAAATCTTCTGTTCAACTCTTACAGGAGAAAAAAAGCTTTCTACTCCCCTCAACAGTTATAATTTCAGAAACTCATGGCACAGTTCTACTTAGTCCTATCGGGTCCTATCAATCAGCATCAACTCCATTAACACTGAGTTTGATTTGTTTGTTTGGGATAGTTCAACTCTTCCACTTTATCATGTCCCTGATTCATTCTTGCTACTCTGTATTCATGAACATGTTTAATAGATTTGATTCCTGTGTATTCTACCCTACATAGTCCATGTGTATATTCACTATTTGTGTGGTTAAAATT